CCAATAATAAGACAACAAGAAATATAGTTCAACTCAAATTTTATCTTTCCAAAATCACAATATTAGTGCAATATATCAAACCCCTAAACATAATGCTTCGCTTATTCTAAATATGATGAATACAATAATATGTCGGGCAGCTGGAACAAATTTTTATTGTAAGAATAATTTTTATTGTGAGGGGCAACTTCTATTCGGTACCCCTAGTAGTAAGCCTCAAAACAATAAAAATAAGGTAATTTAAAATTGTAAATAAACAACACTTCAGTCCTATAAGCGCAGTGAAAGCGCATTGAAAGCACAACAAATAAACAAATTTTTATTGTAAGAGTAATTATAAAGTTTAGGGTTAGGTTTTTTTTTTTAAATTTTAAGAGGCGGATGCCTCTAAAACATGAGGCAAGGCGCGCCTCAGTGAACTTGAGGCGTATGCCTCAATGCCAGCTCTCATTGCTTAGGATTTGAGGCTTAAAAGTTTAAAATTGCGCTGAGGCGTGTCTGGTGTGCCTCTTATTGCACAATTTTAAACCATGCTTGCAACAACTCGACCTGAATTCTCGAATCCCACCGCCCAAGAAAGAATCCATTCAGGAAGGAGATCTACATAAGCAATTTCTTGCCTTGACTCAAGAATGGACCATCATGGTGTACATCGAGAGATTTGAGTTGCCATCAGGACAGTTGAGGGGAGTCTTGGAGGTGGTATTGGAGGGAAATTTTATGAGGGGCCTCAAACCTGACATAAAGCAGACGTCCGATTAATGGGACCGAGGGGGTTGAAGGAGACGATGCAGCTAGCCTAGATAGAGAAGGATTAGAGACAGATGGAGATGATCGATAAGAGCAGCGTAGTGGGAGGCTTTTATAGAAGTATCTCAACTTAACTGGCTTCGAGAACCCAGACGATGACATTTCAGTAGAAGGCACTGAGGGAGAAGAGTGGAGGAGTTTTTCTCGGCGCTAATCACAAAGGTAATAGTGCAAGACAAGAGAGTGATGGGTTTGTGCTTCCACTATAATGAGAATTATGAACCAGGCCATTGGTGCAATGACCACACACTCTAGGTCCTTATGGTTTGTGATGAGGGGACTGATACTGAGAATCTTGTGGAGGAAATAGAAGCAGGAGGTAAGCACCTACATCTTAATATGGCAGAAGGTCTCTTAATTCAGTGGCGGGATTTACTCTAAATCACACTATGAACGTGAAGGGACAAATCAGGGAGTAGCCAATATTGATCTTGTTGGATAGTGGGGATACTCGTTACTTCATCTCAAATCGGTCATAGACCAGTTGGGATTGAAGTTGGTGGATACAAGGAGCTTTGGAGTCATGAATGGAACATAAAAGGTGGAGAGGAGTAAGGGGATTTGCAGGAGGCTGTGCTAAAGTCCAGGGCCTATAAATTATTCAAGATTTTATTCCCTTGGATTTTTGAAGTGTTGAAGTGATCCTAGAAATGAAGTGGTTACAAATGATGGGGGAAATGAATATGGACTAGAAATCTTTGACGATGAAGTAACAGGCAAAGGGAAAGAAAGTGGTGCTGCGAGGAGATTCCAGCCTATGCAAAATCATAGTTTCACTCAAAACCATGGTCAATGTGATATAGAGGGTAGGGTTGGGCTACTTGGTGGAGTTGCAGAAAGAGGAGGAGGTTCCAGAGATAGTCTAAACGCTCCTGCAACAATTTAGTACGGTGTTCTTGTAGCCTCAAGGCCTACTTTTCCCAAGGGAGCATGAGCATGCCATTAACCTGAAAGATGGGGTATCCACTATCAGTGTTCGACCCTACCAGTACCCATAGGTTCAAAAGGATGAAATTGAGAAGCTAATCAAGGATATATTTGAATACCCCTTACCTAAAACCCTAAAGGAGTTGAGGGGGTTTTAGGACTCGTAGGATACTACATGAAGTTTGCGAAGGGATATAGCTTTATATCATGACCATTGACAGAGCAATTGAAGAAGGATAATTTCAAATAGGGGGAGTCAGCCAACCATGTGTTTGAGCAGCTAAAGAAAGCCATGTCGAGTGTCTCTGTGTTAGCATGACTAGATTTCAGCCAGCAATTTGTCATGGAGACTGATGCATCAAGCTATGGGTTAGGGCAATCCTTATGTTGAGTTAGAGACCCATCTTATTTTAGCTAGGTGTTGACTGCTAGGGCCAGGTTGAAGTCGGTGTATGAAAGAAAACTAATGGCAGTAGTGTTGGCAATATAGAAGCGATGTCCTTATCTATTGGGGCGACACTTCATAGTCATGATAGACAAGAGGAGATAGTTCTCATCCTTCCACCTTGAGGATAATGTGCATTTTTGGAGAGGGAGTATTGTTGCGGTAGGAGGGGGGGTTTGGGCGGAATCAGGAAGAGAGCAAAGGGGAGGGTTTGACCAGTCTTGTGGGCATGCATATGGAAGGAGTAGAAATCAAGAGGAGCTATTTAGGAAGGTTTCCTATTTATGTTTATTGTGTTTAGGTAGGTTTCCTATATTTTGTTTATGCTATTTAGGAAGAGTCTATTTGTGTTATTGTGTGCTAGGACTATTTAAGAGAAAAGTTTTGTCTAGGGTTAGGGCATGAGATATTTTGTTTTTGTTGTAGTTTTATTTTGAAGAGCTTTCTAGTGGCGTGTATGGTTTATGGGAGAGCTGAACTATCTCTCGAATAGTAGATCAATTATATATTTCTTTCTTGTTGAAGAGATAATCAAATTTCTGCCCTAATCGTTGAATTCCTGCATTTTACTTATTGCCTACTTGCTGTTTTTATTTCCAAGAGGCATCCAAGTTACTGTAAAGGTATTTATCATTGCAATTGATCATTGTGATTGGATATGATCTATAGCGAAGCTTAGTATGGAACATGGGCAATTTTCGAGTTGCTTCTTCCTTGTGGAAACACAAATAATGCATGTAATAATTTGGTTGTGAAATGTTGAGAATGATGAGTTATTGGACACGATGCAAGTTGTAATATTGAACATAAAGGTACGGCTAGTGGGGTGATGGTAGTGTACGTAGGATGGGCCGGTGTGGAATGACATCAATGAAGAAGTGGCTGCAATATTATTTGAAGGAATCTGTGTAAACCGAGGAGAGGTAGCAAGCAAAAAACAAGAAAAAAAGGAGCAGTATAGCATCAGTGTTAATTAGGGATGCCAACCATGGTAGGGGTGGAGCTAGAAAATTTTGTTAGTGGGATACAAATTGATACTAGCTATTAAGTTATTTTCTTTAAATATCTTTTTTCCTCAGTACAATCACAAATTATCTAATAACATTTCAATAAAAAATTAAAGGAAATCTCCCCATGTGGCACTCTTATTTTTCATTAAGTTCCTAATGTTCTTCCCAGCAAGACAATGCTATTGAATTAAGTTTGAATAAATTGTTCTCATGCTTAAAATTGTTTTGTTTGAATCAATTACAATTCGACTTTATTTTTGAACTCTAATTAGATTAATCAAATCACAATTCATATACGATAGTATTCTTATTAATTACTAATTAATAATTTATTATATTGATTCGACATAATTTTATTTACTTAAAATAAGTCATGAATAATTTTAATTTTTAAATTGATGCAGTTTTAATTAATTATTCATATTAAGCTTTATGAAAACTTATAATTAACTTAACCAACCCCAAAACCCTTGCCTTTCTCCCCTTTTTGCTCCTAACCAAATTCCTATAATTATAAAGGGCATGTGTTAGTACTAATAAAACCCAATACATATAACAATAAAACAAGCTCCAATAAATCCTCACAATCACCTCTATCCCACACACACAAAAAAAAGAAACAATTTAATATAATCATCTAAGAAAGTACTAAAGATCTTTTCCATCACCATTGAAATTTTTCTCACACGAATAGTTCCAAATCTATTATAACTAAGAATAATGAGTAGCATCTAACCAAATGTAGATATGAGATACGCAGTTGGTAGGGAAGTTGCGAATGGAGGCAAGTTGATAAAGGTGAGAATTGGGTGAACTAAGAACCTTGCTGGTGCTTCATCACTGTGTGCAGGAGTCCAGCGAGATCATAGATTTAAGAGGCTTTGGTTATCCTTTTGGGTCAAGCCAATGGGGGAACGGGTTCACTAGTTTCCCCATTGTATCCCTGCTCATGGCCCATTAGACTTGTAGAATACCTTTAAACTATTGATGAAGACTTCAAAGATGTTGAGGCAAATAAGATGTTAGAGAATTCAAATTTATGACGAATGGATCCAAGAGGGGTGATTTAATGGAATGATATCGGACTAGGAGAATGAGATAAACAATCTTAGAATTTGGTGTGTTAATGTGATGTGAGGCAAGATCATCCCATATCCATGAATATGATTAATCTGCAAGACCTACATCCACAGGGTTATGAGCAGCTTGATTTCATTTGGGAGGATCAAGGTCTTTCATTTATGACAAATTGATTCAGGAATATAAGTATGGTGATTTCATTTTGGAGGATCAAGATTTTTCTTATGAAAAATTGATTTATGACTGCGAAAATGTTATGATTTGGTGCTAAAAGGGGTAAATTTATTGTAAGCACACCAGGTAGGGTCCTACCTATTGGTATCATACTTGAGATTTCTGGAAGCACTATAAGTGATGGGGTTCTTTTGCATTGTTATTTAAGGTTCTTGGAATAATCTTAGGTAAAAAAATAAAACGCAATGCTTTATTTATTGAAATATTCATATTCCTTAACGAAAATATAATCTCCATATATGAATAGCTTTTGCTTATAGTTCCTAGAAAAGCGGACTAAAGAAAGGAAATATTAATGAAATGAATATAATAAATCACATAAAAAAATTATCAATATATTTCATCCTTGCTAGCTTTCTCCTGTATTAAAACTGATGGTAAATTGACACTGATTTGCAAGTCTAAAACGTTGTTGCTGATCTCGTCGTTAGGAAATCTTGTTGATTTTAATTTATTTTTCCATCTGATTTCAATTTTTCTTACTCATTGAACAGGAGTTGGGGGCTTGTATATTCCTGTGTATTTCTCTTAGTATGAAAGCGGCCATAACAAACTGAGAAGAAGATATCTTTGAATACCGGTTGCTATGCTGCCTGATAACTCTTCTACCATCAATCCATAATATTTTTTAAAAAAGATTGAATTTGTGCCCATCTTGGCAAGAGTTTTATCAGAAAATCCTGAGTGCATACTTGCGCTGCTCTGTAACTAGAGTTTTTGTATACGGTCAGTGTCATCTAGAACGAAGTCCATCTGCTTACTGTAACTAATTTTAGGAATCGTTGTCAGTATTTATAAGCTAAGTATTAGGCTGAGGACTGATTTAGACTTCATTTGGGATGACTTTTTTAATGCTTTCTATAGCAGCTTTTTAGTACAAAAATTTCTAATTCTGCTTTAGAATGCAGTAAAAAAGCCGTCTCAAACGAAACCTTAATGGAAGTAACTTGGCATCATTTTAACGAGCTGGGAAAACTCACTATAATTTTCTTGCATGGGCAAACTTTGGGTTGCAATTCGTATTTAACGTAGGACATTATTTGTTTTAGTACTAGAACTGCTGATTCTTACCAGATTTATGATTTGGGAGATTGCTGTTTATGCTGGATGCTCATTTACACTGCAATTGGTCTGCTGGCTTTTCTTCTTTAATGTTATTTGTTTGTTGGTATTATGTGTGAGGCTTTCAATAATTACCAGCCGTGATATGACAGACTGCTCTTCCAAAACTTCTGTAGCGACCCACAAAACAGGAATACAAATATTTTTATGAGGCTTAAGATCTGTTTCTTTATGATTTGACCATTTTACCAACAATGTCTATTTAAAGGGCAATAAGGTTCCACCTATCCTTTTGCAGGTTTTATAATATGGTTCCAAATGAAAATTTGACCCAAAAAAATGAGTATTGGTTATCATATATGGTTAAGGGGGCTTGTTTCTAGTGTAAGATATTGAGATGTCATTAGAAAAAAAAATTATGCTTTGAAAGAATGACAATAAATGAACACTATTCATGTAATGATAATAAGGAAGCTAGAGGTCCAAAAGAAAAAAAAAATCTATGGCTTTTGATGATTTTTATCATAAGCTAGGTACTAAGAAAAAAGAAAAAGAGTTGTATACATTACTTTTAGAGAGCTATGATTTTTTGCCAAGGCTATTGATGAATAAGTGTAGAGATCAAAGAAATGATCTATTTATACTTTTTATTCATTTTTGTATGGCATGTAATGAGTACCGTTAGAATTTATTAGGTGTGTAAGTTATTAAAAATATATAATAGAGCTTAGACTTATTTTTTGCTTAAGCTAGAGTAAAGTTGTGTACAAAACCCCTTCTTGACCATGCATTGATAGGAACTTCATGCATTGGCATACACATTTTTTTTAGCTTCAAATAATATTAGCAATAGTTATTGAAGATGATAAAGAGTTCTCAATCATAATAAGATTAGAATAAAGATTATCATTATGTTTTTATTTGCATTAATCGTATAGATGCTTGCAAAAGATGTTTAAGTTTAAGTAGTGTATGCCTTTGCATGTAGCGTAGTTCTAATTAGTAAGACATCTGTTGTGGTAAGTGTAAAGAGAATGATTGAGAAAATGTTATGAAGATCAACGACAAAAAATTTGTATATAACATGCAATTTTAGTGAATACAATATTAATTATTGTTTGTTAATATTATTATTGGATAAATAGTTAGATAGTTGTGATAAATTTAAATATAATGATTGCATTAAAAAGGATGATATTGTTGATGATATAATACTTAGAAATAATCCTTGGTTGTTAAAAAGGAAAAAATATCTCAAGTGTGCTATGCGGTAAGATGGATAGTGTGACAAAACTATTTTAGCACATGAGTAGGTGCTATGCATTAAAATGGAAAAATATTAGGGAGATTTAAAACTAAATTTTATAATATAGCTCATGAGTAGGTTGTGTATGGCTAGTGTTGGTTGGTAAATAAGTCATTTAGAGTAAAGCTGAGCGTGAGGGAAATGAGAATTATAAGATAGAAGTGTGACAAAACTAAAAAAATATAGATTGATAAATAATTATATTAGAAGAATGATGGGTGTAGAATCAGCAAAGGTTATATAGTGGAAAAGAGGCAAATGGTTTCGGCATACACAATGAAAAGTTGAAGCTGCATCAATATGATTAGTAGATTGTGGATAATATTAATTTGAAAGATTTGGAAGAGAAAGGTGTTCAAACAGAAGATGGTTTAAAAGTATATTCCCATTTCAGTTGGATTATATTAAGGATCAGCTTTAAACCCATATCTTTTTGCTTCAGTCATGAATATTCTTACAAAACATTTGCTTTAGTCATGGATATTCTTTACACTTAGAGACAGAATGCAAAATAAGTATATACATGAACATGTTTGAATAGTTCAAGTGGAAGATAATATTAGAGAGAGTTGTCTTAAATGGTTGGGTTACATACAACGTCAGTCTTACGATGTCCCAGTTAAGAGAGTAGATGTATTTTGACTTAGGTTTAGAGGTAGACCTAAAAGGACTTGGTTAATAAGTATTAAAAATGATATTTTTTATTAAATTTAAATGAAAATTTTACTCTTAATTGTGCACAATGTAGAAAATTGATTTTTATAGTTGGAACCCATATTATGGGATAAAGGCTTCTTGTTGTTGTTTTTGTAGGAAGAGAAATGTGTAGATAAAAATATATATATTGCACAGTAATACGATGCCTGATACACACCAATAGACAACAATATTGCACAGTAATACGATGGTATGTAATACACAGCAATATTGCACAGTTAATTGTCCCAATATACTTCGAAGGAATCCTATTCAGATTTGATGAAAATTCTGTTGACAGTCCCAAACAATTTATCCTACTGTGCTGATTGAAGTTTGGAAGTTGTTCTTTCAGCTTAATTTGTTTGCTCTATCCAGTTCATTGTTTATTTTTTTCTCTTAACAGATCCCTCTTGGTAGAGCTGGAAGACTCAGTAATAAGCTTTTTTGGTTGGGGCATGTGGCTTATGGTTGCCATGTGATGGTATACACAATGATGAAGTAGATCCAAAGCAGAATACGAAACTCTACATGCGTTGGATTCAATGAGCAGCTTATAAAGAAGCAAAGCAACAGAGATTTTAGAGAGCTTGTGCAGTAAAACCGAAGAAAAAAAAAGATTCCCAATTAAATAGAATTCCAAATACCCAACATGTAAAGAACATCCATCCAATGGCCATTCTTCTTTGTTCCACCTTTACTGAGATTTAGGCTTCGTTTGGGACGACTTTCTTATTGCTATCTTAAACAGTTTTTTAATACTAAATATTTCTTAAACTAGAAATTTCATATAAAAAATAATTTTAGAAAATATTAAGAAAACTGTCTCAAACGAAGTCTTAATTTTGAACCCCATAGAGCAGCTTTGCGAATAGCTTCTCCCTCATAATTTACTTCTATGAAGCCTTAAATAATAAAATCGCCTATTATGAAGGGCTTTTCAAACCTGTTCCATTGCATGGGGATATCCAAAGAAAAGATTGCTGTGATTTTTCAGGTAAACTTTGCAGAAAGAAAAAGTTCCTTGACGAGAGGAAGACACAATATAAAGAAACATTAGAGAAAAGGGGAGAGAAGAATTAGAGCTTAGAAGAATAAGTTATAATATTTCACTAAATTGCTAGAAAGCATAATGTGATTGAGTAAATGTGTCAGGGTCATCCTCTGACCCTTATCTATAAGAAATGCTATATTTAAAAAATACAAGCTAAACTATATGGCAAGGCTCACAAGTTCTTGTTATAAAACAATAAACTTAGGCAGCATATAACTTTTTAATTAAATAGAGAACTCATGGTCGATTCTTAGTAATGGATGAATTCAATGAGTACTTCGGATTGACGAGAAGCTTTGAAACTTACTCTAATTCTTTGGCGTTTCAGGCATGTAGCATTGAAGATTTCAAGTGATAGTTGTATTGAGTAAGGATTATATCGAGCAGTGAGAAATATGTATGGTACACAAGTCATCTTGATTTGTTGGTTTGGAGCTTAAGTTTCCACCTAAAAGGTCTTAGATTCGAGTCTTGTGTATGCGATGTTTATGTGAATCTGTCTTAATTGGCTTAAATGTACCCCAAAAAAAATATTGGATAGCTTTAACCACTTGAACTCTATGATGAGATCATATATTTGGCGACTCATTCTATATAGAAATTGGCATTTTTTGAATGGTCACCTTGCTTTAAACTTGGTTCATTATGATTAGAAAGCCGGATATATAACTCAATCTAGGAGACAATGGGTATTCAACTTTCTCCACAAGAAGAAAAGATAATTGATCAATTGCCAAAATAAATAAGAGTGATGAGAGTGGGCAACCCTAGTTTTTTAAACTTGCTTCAAGGGTTTGAGGAAAAATGCTTAAACAAGTAAGTTGATATAAGTGGTTGATTTAATGAAAATTTTATGTCAAGCATTTTTACTTTATGATCACATACCCGTTATGCTCTATTATTACAATACCTATAAGAAGCTACATCCTAGCCCTACACATGACATGATGTTGGCACCATTATGATTAATTATGGAATTCTCATGAAGCCCTTTACACACCTTTGGGATTTCTACTTCTACTTTGGAAAATCATTATTATTATTTTTAGAAAGTTTATTCTTGTGCATGAGAAGTTTCATCTCATTCTCAAAAAATTTTCCAAAATTTAGGAAGCCTCTCTCATTCTCGATAGAGCCTCCCCAACCTCACTATGGTCCACTCCAACACAAACCCAATATACTCTTAGTTCAATAATTTATTATGCAATATGGTTCACCCATTGAGCATAAGTAATAAAAATAGTATGCACAAGCAAGGGTTCAATAAAGTAAACAACAAAAGGGAAGAGCAGAAACTAAAATTTTCTTGATCTCAACCCAAGCTCCCATACCCGAAATCCCTTCATCCTTCAAGTCTTTAACCATTCGAACTCCACTTCTTGTAAAGTTTCATTTCATTTTATAACAACCTTTATTTCATTTCATTTTATTGCTCTTAATTATTGTTATTACTTATTGATACTAATTAGTGGCATTAGTTATTATTAGTAATCATATTATTATTATTAATAAGATTACTACTATCTTTATTATTCTATTATTAGTAGTTTAATAATAAATCATTATTATTATTCTTTTGCAATATAAGTACTAGGAAAATATATAAATTAAAATACTGACTATTAAAAAAATATCAAATATATTCTATCCAATCTTGAGTTTTGGTACTTTATGCCACGATGTACAATATATCTTAAATATTAGTACTCACAAAAGTAGATATGTAATACAAGTACCAGGAAAAATAAAGAGGCAATAAATAATTTTTATTATTTGAAGTTTGGGGAGGTTGTGAGACCTCGGTGAACTATTCCTAGGCACACCAAAAGGAGGGGATGAATTGGTACTTTTAAAAATAGTGCAATAAAATAATTTCTTTTTGTTT